AAATATCCTTGGGAAAGTTACTAACCCAAAGTTGGTCTCCGATGCATCCCTCAGAGTATGTGTGTGAATGTTAGCTAATAAGAACTAAAAGCAAAGAACAAAGTGCAATGAAGGATGCAAGAGTCTGCATATTGTGTGCTTATGTTTTTTATGTTGATGTGATTGATTTTGTTGTGGTGTGAACGAATGTCAGGTGACTTCTGCTGCAACCCTGGTATAGTATATAGCTTTGTTTAGAATTTTGCAATGATCACCAAATATAATTTTTAATATGTGATCATAGCCACAATGGCCAGCAGGTGTCCCTGTCAAGATGGCTGTAGAACTGATTTAAAACCTTGGCACAATCGCAGCGTAATTGCTTTGACTATTTCACTGATTCACAAAGGCTCACTTTACCTATCATGACTATTTAGTACCGCATTTGTATTAGCATTTTAGCAATTGGCATAGGTCGGCCAAATTCCTCCTTTCCGAGCAACAACAAGTAGAGTAGATTGCTGGATAGTGTAGTAGTAAGACTACACACCTTTGGAGCGGGTATCCAGTAAGGGTCCTGGATAGACCCATGTACTCTGTATGATTGTGTATGTGACAAATAAAGCTTGCTTGCCAGCTGCTCTATCATGCTGCTCCAAAAAAATATTTATACAAATCTTCTAAGCTAAACATCATTAAATAAGATAATGGAAAAAAAATTGTACAACTGCCACTGTTAATACAATGTATAGATTAATTATGGTAAGACTCCTATTTGAAAAACTGTCTACAAATCTTATATTGATGCAGGTAAATATTGTCTTGCTGTTTATATTCAGATCTCATGAAAAGACTAGAAAAAAAAAATCAGGTTATGGCGCAGGGTTTCTTAAGGTTTTGCAGTTAAGATGTACACAAAGTGTAGATTTAATACCAGTTGTTCAGAGAACATGATACACTATAAAAATAGTGCGTGTCAGTTATACTTAAACAGATACAAAGTTGACTGCGGACAGTAAAAATTAAGCAAAAATTAAATACCGACCTTCTATAATATGGGATTATTTCATAAAACTTAATTTATTCGGCATATAGACTATATACAATTTACAACCTCCTTTTAGTTTCTCAAAACAAGATTAAATGATCAAACAGCATGTGAATTGATTCTGAACTTACTTACAAAACTAATGAACCAGATGACTTTATAGTTTATTTTTCTAGTTTGCAAGTCGTGGCTATTGATCATTGATAAGATAAAGGGTAACGTTTGGAGCCTTGAATGTGATTTAATCACTTCTCTTAGCGTGCTAAGTAGCCCCTTAGTTATAGTGCTAGGGTTAGCTAAGTTCTTGTTAACGGGGCCAGTCAAGAGCTTAAGCTCCCCACCGCTTTCTTGCTTTGTTAACCCTCTGTACTATTGCAATAGCCACGGTGCACACGGGAAAAGTGTCTGGTTAGCGAATCCGTTAGCCTATTAGCTTAGCTTACCTATATACAATAGCAAAAGCTTTGCTTAAAGCTAATTTGCTAGCGCGCGCATCACCAAAATCCGAGCTACAAATTAGCTTTATAGTCACATAATGTGACCATTAAGCTGTAAATGGTACAAATTGCAAATTATGAACCGACACAGATTTCTGGCTATTTAACTGATACCAAGACTGTACTGTATCTAAGTTGGCAACACAAAGTCCGGAGCTCTCGGATTCGACAAAGCTAGTTAGCAGTTCGTTACAGGAAACCACTCAGCGGAGCTATCTAGCAGGGTATCGCTAACACCTTTGTTTTTCTTGGCTAATTTTCTCTTAGTAATTTCAGAAACGGATAAAACCCATTTAGCAAACAATATTTACGCTTTATGGCAAACGTTTATGGAGACTGTGCCACTTACTTGAAATAAAAACGTACTCCAGCTCGGTTCCATTGCAACACTTGGGCTAAAATCTGAAGGAAGCCTATAAGGAATCTACAACAAAGCAGCTAAATATGGCAGCGACAACTTCCTGTAACCCCAAGGACTAAATCAAGTCCAATATACTTTTTTTAAACTTTACTTTAAATAATTCCCCTTTCATATAGTTCACATATATTTTGTCACTAGAGACTGAAAAAAAATGTTACAAGACAGATGTACTTAAACATGTGACATACGTGCTGCTGAATCAAACTGTGCTGTACGTACTATTTCGTTATATCTCTCTCTCCTTCTCTCTCAGTCTTTATATGTACTGTTAATAGTAACAAATAACAAGTTATCTATCCCTTATTTATTCCATAATTTAATCCAATATCTCTGCCCCCTGCACAACTGCACCATAAACATAAATATGTAATATATGTTTCTATTGTAAATATTGTCTGTTTTCTATTATGTTACATTGAGAACTAATAAGTAACCAGGCTAGTATCAGCTTTACTGACCATAAATATCTACTGGTCAGTAAAGCTGGTTCTGATAGATGTTGAGGGCAATTCTTTTTATTCCTAAAAAATTCTTAAGTGAGTGAAGTAGGTAATTCACTCACTTGGGAATTGAGTGAACCCAGAATCTTCATTTCTAGCTTTTCTTGTTTACAAGCATCAGGACCAACTCATCTTGCTTGATGTTGACTTCATTCTTTGTTTCACAGTGCGTTTTTTGAGGATCAACTTTTCACAAAAGCGCGACATTGAGCGACGGATTCAGATCCAGAAAATTTGGAAGTTCATGTTGTTTTTTTGTTACACGCTCAGTGTGTAAAGGCCTTTAATCCAAAATTGATAGTTGAGTCTGAAATCAAACATGGCACAAATTCCTCTAATTAATCAACCATTTACTTGCCAAATGCTAAAAACTTATAAAAGTTCTTTTCACTGCACTCCAAAGGCCATTAAAGGCCAAGAGTGTTGCGAAAAAGCGATACAAAATTCATAATTTTCCAGATCTGAACTTACTGTGTAACGTATATACAGAACTTAAGTCATTCTGTGATTTACTATAATAAATCACAGAATGCTCACTTACATGTTTAGCTTTTTTCACAGAACTCACAGAGAGTAACTGGTCTCAGAGCAGTGAAAGCAGAAACAGCCCAATAGATCCAAACCCAGGATTTTCATGTGAGGCAGCAGTGCTGACCACCTCACCAACAAATCAGCCAAATTTAAATCAGGCAATCTTCTGTTTTATTAGCTATAAGGTCACTTATCAATTATTTTTGAATAAATGTACTCAGTTCATTTTATTTTACTTTGATTTATGATGTTGTTCACATTTAGCTAACTGGGTATTTTAGTTTTATCCTGCTTTGCTGAAGCTAAATCAGCCTTTTTCTAAATCGGTATAAAATCATAAGTTAGTAACAAATTTGAGAACAAGACACAATTCATCGGAGAAGCTGCTCCTGAACACTTCTCCAGCACAATTATTTCCACTGTTAAGGCCCTTGTGACAAGAGAAGAGAGTCTGTGTTATGATCTACAGAGTCTGGGACTTGATTACATATGCAAAAACCAAAACATTTTTTTCCCTTTTGAACTCCGCTGCTGCATGCTATCAAAGGATACAACAGATGTGAACATACTGACTCCAGCTGAAACCTGCTATAGTCTAGAAAGTAACAAAATTTGTCTGTAACTTGTACTGTTCGAGGTGGTTCAAGCAGAGCCTTTGCAAAGACCTGCATTATGTTTACTTTCCAGCCTGTTCCATATGCTTTTTGTTTTACAGTTCCCGGGTGTTCAGAAAATGAGCCCACTCATTGTGCTTTGTTGTATTGTACATTGCCAGCCTTTTTGTAAAATAGCACAATGTCAGCTTCAGATAGACTGGCTTAATGTGTGTTCTCTCTTTCCACACTCAGCGGGATTCAATTCATCAACATTTTAAATCAAAAATAGCCATGCAAATGGTGCAGTAAAGGCTACATTATGCGGATTTATGCTGCAAACCTTAAGGTTAGGTGAGTTCAAATGGGATTCTATTGAGTTCAAATGCTGCTTTTTCATGGTTGTATTTTTTTAACACTTCTCTGAGTCTACTAAAAATGCACTACAAAGTATGTTATTGTCCAGGAAGAAAATTGAAAATGACCAAAATTTGGGTATCCTAAGGTAAAGTTTTCTCTATATGATTTGTTGTTATTCATATAAAGATTTTCAGTGAGACCTTTCAGTAGATTATAAATAATTTAAACATTTTAGAAAAAAATAACCACCATCAGAGTAAAGATAAATATGTAAATAGCTTTTTCTACAATAACAATAATGAGCTAAATACTGTAAAAAAAAAAAAAGAAAAAAAAAAGATAAAAAAGAAAACTGAAATGAGTTCCTGTAAAATCCACTGTTTAGGGTTGAGAATGGTTCCTTGATATATTTCTTTTGAAGGGGGGGGGGGGGGAAGCACCATTACAATACAACAATAATATTACCAGTGTCAGACATTAGGTTTCACAATACTTCATTTGCTATAATGCTTTATTGATTTGCCTGAGCATGCATGATCAGTAATGTGGTTAAGCTGCTGAATACGCTTAATGAACCAGTCCTATATTTTAACAAGTAAAAGTGTTTTGGGTGAAGATGTAAAACAGATAAAACAAAAACCTTTGGCCATTTGATTTTATTTTAAATTTTTGTCTGTTTGTAAATTTTAATTTCCAAAAAACCCTAACCCTAGCCCCAAACTAATACAACTGAGAGTTTTATACAAAGATTCTAGGTTTGACAGCCGCAGTTAAGAGCAAAGATGATAGACAGAAAATTGTAAAATATAAAACAATAGTCACATCACTGAGATCAATGAAAAATACTCCCAGGTACTATATTCATCACATAAAAGTTGGGGAATGAAACAGTTCAGTGTCCCACTTGCAAAACGGAATAAAAAATACAGTCCAAATTTCAACAGAGAACAGCAGTTGTCCCCCCAGACTCAACACCCTATACGTAATAGGCTGACAGTCACCAATATTAATTATATATTTCACAGAATAACAGCAAATGATTACTATAAACTGTTTTAATCTAAGCCATCTTGAGTCTGGGGCACATACCTGCAGACAGAAAAATATGACAGCACTGTTTTCAGTGTGGAATATAAACAGTGTAGATTATGAGTACAGTCAGATACACCTGCCCTCAATTAACTCAAGCCAATCACAGCGATTGGTTGACCAATTGTGAAACACACAAAGCCATTTCCCACAGCAAATATGGAGATGAGTTTATGAAGGTGAGTTGCTACATAGGCTGCACTGTAGTCGACCATGTTACAAGAGAAATGCACAACATTTCCCTCTGAAATGAAGTGCAGCAGAAGTAGAAATTAACACATTAAGTACATATTTAAGACATATTTAGATATTTTCATATTTAAGTGTAAGTTCTTCAAATTTGTACCTAAATACAGTTTTTAATAAATGAACTTAGTAACGGTGACAAACCACTCAGAACTGTTGGAAGGTCTCTTTCTGCTCTCTAAAACAGATGTTTCTAAAAGCATAATTGTGATCCTGAGATGCTTCAACAAACTTGACTGTAACAAATATATTTATATATTTCAATTGTTAAGTGATAACAAAAAAGTGTTTTTACATGGCAAATGCTTTATTGTATATAGAATGTATTTAAACTCTAATATATAATATATTATAATGTAATATATACAGTAGTGAGTTAATATAAGTTAATATATTTTCCAGAGTTTTCAGCTACATATCAGAGTCTTCATCAGTGAATAATATTACTGCTTATCATTTTACCAAGAAATTGGCAATAGGTTTAAGCTAGTATATATTACTTCAGTCAGTTGAGCCTAGTCTGAGTACACCCTAAGTTGTCCTATTATTAATAGCCCCTTTTACTTTCTGTCTAAGATTAAGCCATGGGTGACTGGTCCATACTTGGTCGCTTTCTGTCTGAGGTCCAGAACCACTCTACAGTGATAGGCAAGATCTGGCTCACTATGCTGCTCATTTTCCGCATTCTGCTGGTAGCCTTGGTGGGTGATGCTGTCTACAGTGACGAGCAGTCCAAATTCACCTGTAACACCCAACAGCCTGGATGCAACAACGTCTGTTATGACACATTTGCTCCTGTTTCACATCTACGGTTCTGGGTCTTCCAAATTGTACTCGTCTCTACTCCATCCATTTTCTACATAGTTTTTGTACTGCATAAGATTGCCAAGGATGAGAAGCTTGATGGCCAGAGGACACAGCTGCTATCCCAGAGAGTTCCCAAACAAAGGTCCGGGGAAATTAGGAAAGATGGCATGGAAGCAATAAAGGTCAACATCCCCACTTACTACCCTCATTACAGTGGGGAATGGAATACAAGTGAGAGGGAAGATGTAAAGAAAAGCCTTCTGGAAGAAGCTTATGATGAAATGGGAGAGGACCCCACCCAGCAGTCCAACCAGGTTCTTCTTATTTACATTCTTCATGTATTACTACGATCTGTACTGGAGATCACCTTCCTGGTCGGCCAGTACTTCTTGTTTGGGTTTGAAGTGCCTCACCTGTATCGCTGTGACTCGTATCCTTGCCCTACTCGTACAGACTGCTTTGTATCACGTGCCACTGAGAAGACCATCTTCCTGAACTTTATGTTCAGCATCAGCTTGGGCTGTTTCATCCTTAACATTGCAGAGCTCCACTACCTGGGGTGGATTTATATTTTTCGCATACTCTGCTCAGCTTGCTCCACCTGCTGCCGTCAGGAGCAGAATCCTGTCAAATTATACTCAAACCATAACCCCCTGATGCTGCAACTCAGGCATTCTGTGAGGGGTCAGGTGTTTCTGCAGACTCAAGCAACCATGGCCCAGGAAAAGAAAGGAAGCCTACTTGGACATGCCCCAGCTATCTCGTTTGAAACAGACTCAACTGTGGAATGCACCTCCAAGAGAAGTCCAGACAGCAAAGACAAAGTAAAAGTTAAACTGGCTAATATGGCCAGGCTGGGATGGACTAGGAAGTCTTGGCTATGAGAGAGAAATTTTTTGTATTTGTATTAGCTTTGTAAAAAAAAAAAAAAAAAAAAAAAACGGACTGAAAAGGGAACTAAGGCCTAGCGTACCCCTTTTTTAAAAATTGCTTTTCATTTAAATAATTGAATATATTATGGGAGGGACTTTCTGTGTGGGGCTCTACTATTAGTTTTAGCTATTGTGAAATCTAGTGCTCTAAAGTAACCCAGCTAATACCTCTTAAACACCAAAAGTACATCATTATGCAAAGAACACTTTGTTTGGAAACCTGGAGTCATGGAATGATATTACTAGACATGTAATAACTCATAACTGGACCAGGGAAATTTCATTTGCAGTATCTTGTATCTAAAACTTTATTATTTTAACATTTTGAGATCCAAGAGTTCAAAAACTATGAAAAAAAAATCACAATGCAAATGATTCAATCACTATATACAATTGATAGTTGCAAGTTTCACAAAGACATGTATAAAAAGTTAAAAATGTGAAATTTGGTGAATTGCTAATGCTAATTTAAATCTGTATGTACAACTTTGCTCCACTTTGGATTTAAAGCGTGTGTAGATTTTTATTATTGGAGTGTATAGTAGGTGAATGTTGAGGGGGCTGTAATCTGCATTGTCAATGGGCTTCTTAGAATTGTTATAGATTGCCTTGTGTTGCTCCTTATATGTATTTATTTAAGTATGTTTCTGTTGCACTATCCAGTGAAACGTCACTTATTCCTTTTGCACTTTGTAAACCTTGGCAATCACCAGAAATAAAATGTTGCTTTATGTTACTTCTGTCTTCAGTGTACTGCATTTGAGTGCACAATTAAACCCTACATTCCACACAACAGTTCATGTCAATATCTAATGGTTGTCTAATTTGGGCCTTCAGGCACTACTGCATTACACACATGCATCTGAATTGAAATTCACTATCGTAACTCAGGAACACCTAAAAATTGTGGTCAGTGTAATAGTTTGTTGCTGCATGTAGAAATTTAATAATAAAAAAAAAAAAGAACTTTTAGCTGCTCCCTTTTGACAGTGGGTTGCCACAGAAGGTAGCTTCACATGCTTGATTTTCTTTTTTAGACGAAATGCCCTTCCTGACAAACATGGACTGAAGTACTGTGGCAGTCCAGATGAGTCATGAAATAAAGAGTTTTGTGCTTTCATCATGAATTGTACAATAAAGTACATTAGTAAATTCATTTAAATTCTAAATTCTAAATTAATCTCTTAATTTTTTATTTTTCTAATTTTTAATTAAAAAGCTGATTTTCAAAGTCTTTTTGAAAATGCAATTTAAAAAGAGAAAATAATAAATGGATATAAAAAAAACAGACAGACAGACTTCATTAATCCCTGAGGGAAGTTGAGTTGTCAAAGCAGCATACATACAACAAAAGTCAAGAACCCATATAAAATGAAGTAACAAAACATTTATCAATAGATAAATATTATAAACTGGACTGGACTCATAATTCAGACGCCTTCTACAGGCAAGTAGTGCGGAGACTCAGGTCTTTTGGAGTGAAGGGCCCACTCCTGAAGACCTTCTATGACTCTGTGGTGGCCTCAGCCATCTTTTACGCACTGTAAAAAAAAAATCTGTCAAATTTACGGTAAAATACCGGCAGCTGTGGTTGCCAGGAATATACCGTGTAAAAAATGTGGA